ATTCCTTGAATTTGTAACGTCACAAATTAATGCATTCATTTTCATCCAGCATGCATCAGTAATATACGCGTGTAAGTCCGAGAGCTCTTGAAATGTTCACAAAACGTAACTTAATCGGACGCTTTTTTTACAATTTAAAGCTAAACAATAAATCATTCTAAAAAACTAAATTTACATTGAAAGCAGCATAGTTTTTACATAAAGATTCATAAAAAGTCAAGCAATTGTAATTATGACACAAATTCCCTTCTTTTATGTCACTTAGCGCTATTTTCTCGTTTCACTTATTCAGAATAATAATGATAATGAATAAGTGAAGGTTTCCCCCGCATTTTCAAACATCTGTTTCTTGGCAACTGCAAAAGAGTGTCAATCAAAGATATAAACTTTTTTTTTCATTTAAAAAATTCAATAAGTGTCTATATTCCTATTTCTTTTTTTTTCAACTATTTTCTCTGATAAATAAATAGAAAAAAATACCACGAACTTTTAAACCAACCCTCGTTCAGAAAGTTTTTAAAAATATTCATTTAGAAGCATCAAAATTCTCATGGTTTTCTTCATGAAAATCATAACATTTTTGCTTTTGAAAACTTAATATCACCCGAGTCGCCCAGGCACATTTCCTAGGCAAAGATAATGATGAGGCCAACCTTAAGATTTTGCGTCGGTAGGTGGGTAGAATTTTTTTCGCTGAAATTTTTTTAATCATATTAATTTTTAAGAATCTTTTTTTTTCAAAATGCATAAAAAAAATATTTACTTTGTATATCCTGTAGGTATAAACATTTTGAGTCGGGCCACTTTGAGCCAGTCTCTCGAGAGAAGGGAGCCAACCTCATCTTGGGTGTCACTGTTATTGCCGGAATTTCCCTCAACCGAGATGATATCGTGACGTCGCACAGGGTAGGGGCACCAAGAAACGAGCAATCGAATCAAGGCGGACGATCGGGACCATATAATTGCAAGACTGCGTTCTGCCGATCTGAAATTCATGCTAGTTAAAAGCTACGAAAGCTTAAAAGCGAATCCTGAAACAAGGCATGTGATGATCAACAAGGATCTCACCAAGCGTCGAGACAAACTTCTATATATGTGTCGCCAGCTTTGCCGACAGCATAAAATACTAAAGGTTTGGTCATCAAACGGAAAAATCCGCATCCGAGATAATAAGAAAAAAACATATCTCATCAGACAGGAGGACGACCTGTCCGTTCGGCCACGTTCCGCAGTGATAGCATCTATCCGTTAGTTTTGACATCCGTCCTTTCCAGATATTTATTAAATGTGATTGTCTGTGTATAAATACCTATATTATATACAACGAACAGTTGACAAACAAAATCTGCATTTTGTTTCATAAATTAAAATGTTGTTCAAAATTTGTAATAAATTTTAATATAGCCTTTAATATTTGTCTATATATATAGGTTGTTTTTTTTTTGCAATTCTAAACCCACAACTATGCCACCACATCTATGCTTCTCCGTCTAGTAATTTTTTGTACATACATGTACGTTGTTCTATTGGCTAAGCTCATACACAACCAGCTACACAATTTATACTGCAACTGTCATCAGTGGTCAACTGTTGTTTTTTCAGACTGCGGTCTTATACTTCCATACAATTATACATATCAAAAGATAGACAATGGGTAACTCACTAGAAGAATATCGAGCTGCAGTCGGTTTATTCTATTTATCAGGTACAGGCTTAATCTGGCTAAGACAAAATTGAAGCCTTAAATTTTTATTTTTCATCTATTTTTACTATTGATGATTCAAACAAAACACTACCAAACATGTACAATCTATGTAGTAGCACATTTTGTAAAATATCAATTGAAGAACATGAAGTATCAGACATTATTTCAATACTTCCCGTGAACAAAGCTATAGGTCCCGACTGTATAAGTCATAAAATGTTAAAATCTACCCTTCAGTCTGTTGTTAAACCACTCTCTACAGTGCAGGGAAATAATTTTGTTACAGCATCAATGCTGATTTTGGTGCTTCCTATGCTTGCTGATTTTGATGCTTCCTTTGCTTGCTGATTTTGATGCTAGTTATCCTTATCCTGATCCTGGTTTTATCCTTATCCTGATGCTGGTTTGAAACTAGGTCAATGCTAGTAATGCTACCAGAAGTAGGATTATCCTGCCGGAAGTGGATAATTCAAAAACAGCATCGCTATTTTAAGCCATTAAAAATAATTTTTGGGGTAATTTTTATTTGTAATTTGTATTAAATGACTTTCCTTTATCTGTTTTCACTTTGGTCAATGCTAGTTCTATCCTTTGCTTGCTGATGCTGATCCAAGTAATGCTGTTTTTTTAAATGCTGATGCTGATGCTAGTTCTATCCTGATCCTACTTATGCTGATCCTGATGCTGGTTTATGTAACAAAATTAGTTCCCTGCACTGTATGTTATACAACAGGTCCCCGTCAGATAGAATATTTCCATCTTTCTGGAGAGTAGCTCATGTTATTCCTCTTTTTAAAATGACCCCTCTTTGGTTTCAAATTATAGACCTGTGTCGCTGTTATCTTGTGTTATCTTGTGTTAGTAAAATTATGGAAAGAATTATTTTTAAACATGTGTACAATTATTTTCACGGTAATAATCTGTTTTATCGATATCAAGCCGGTTTTTTACCAGGACATTCTACTGTGTATCAATTACTAGAAACGTACAAAATATTGATGAAGGAAAAGTATGTTGTATGGTTTTTGTGATTTGTCTAAAGCATTTTACAGAGTATGGCACAAGGGTCTCATTTTTAAATTACAAACTTATGGTTTATCCGAAGATATCCTCCAGTGGTTTTTTAGTTATTTAAATCATAGGTCACACAAAGTAATGTATAAGGATTTGTTCTCTTCAAAACTTGATTTATATGCAGGTGTACCACAGGGCTCTGTATTGGGGTCACTTTTATTTCTGATAAATGTAAATGATGTTGCTGAAAATATGATGTCCATGTGTAGATTATTTGCTGATGATAATTCGCTTCAACAATGTTCATACAATATTTTAGACTTTGAATACAAGCTAAACCACGATTTACACATTTTAGAATCATGGTCAGATAAATGGCTTCTAAAATTTAACCCATCTAAAACAAAGGTAGTCTTCTTTAACACAAAGGCCATTTCTATTATGCCAAAATTATTTTTTAAAGGAGATAGGCTAGAATGCATCCCAGTCCATAGACACTTGGGATTATTATTGTCACAGAATCTCAGCTGGTCTGCATATATTGACGGTATTGTAAACAATGCTTATAAAAAACTTGGGCTTTTGAAAAAACTAAGTTTAAATTGAGTAGAAATAACCTTTCAATATTGTACACTACATTTATTAGACCAATGCTCGAATACGCTTCTAAAGTATGGGATGGGTGCTCTGAACAAGATTCTGAAAAGCTGGAAAAAGTACAACTAGCTGCGGCTAGAATTGTCATCGGACTTCCTATTTTTGCATCTACTGAAACACTTTACTTAGAGACGGGTTGGGAAACTTTAAAATTTAGGCGTTATGTTGCAAAAATGTCTACTATGTTCAAAATACATAAAGGGACTGTCCCTGAATATTTAAATATTATTGTACCAAACAAGCATGAAAATGTATCAAAATACAATACCCGCAATAAAGAACAGTTCATTATTCCAAGATGTAGATTAGATCTATTCAAAATGTCATTTGTGCCAGACGCCGTGAAACAATGGAATTTATTGAAATTAGGTACAAGAGAAGCCATCTCAATTAATTCCTTCCGTAAAAACTTAAAAGCTTGTACAAAAATCATCAATCCGCCAACATCTTTTTCTTTTGGTAAACGCTACACAAACATACTTCATACTAAACTAAGACACAACTGTTTACTTAATTATGATCTATATAAACGCAATATTATAAACAGTCCTCTTTGTTCCTGTGGAGAGTATGAAGATGTTTATCATTATTTTTTTTTGCCTGTACAAAGTATGCAAATGCTAAAAACAATCTTTATAACCATCTGTTCATGCTTGAAGAATTGGTTGCTATTGACACTAATTTACTATTATGGGGTGACAGAGATTTGCCTGTATCAATTAATATTAATATTTTTGCTGCTGTCCATAGATTTATTACTGAAACATGTAGATTTTAAATTTAATTGCATCACTTGAAAATATTATAATTATTATATTTTAATGTATTTTTTGCATGGCATATTGTTATATTTATGGAGAGGAACTTGTAAGTTGCAGGAACTTGTTTCCAATCCATTTGACTCGTTCAATAAGATATGTTCAAAACAAGGGAGCCAACTCTCTTTCAAAATTTTAGTGAATTAACCGTCACAAAAGTTAAGCAATTAACCTATAAAAAACATTATCATTTTTAAACATTTACAATTCTTAAAAAAAAATCCCTTTAGTTTTCAGAAGTTTTCAAGCTTATTCTGGTGGCGCAGTGCTTAGAGAAACTGATCTAGAATCAAGGATTCGGTTATTATGTAGCGGAAACGGTAGCTCAGTAGATAGAGCGCTCGTTACTTCGAATCTCGGCTGCTTCTGACCTTCGTCGATAAAAAAAGGGTTGCACTAGGCACATTAAGGTGAAAGTTGCGCATCCCTCCGATGAGATGATAAAAATAGAATATAACAATAACCAATACTTATTGTACAGTTAAATCTACTGATCAATATTAAAGCAATATAGGTACAAGTACAATTTTTAAAATTTGTTTTATTTTTTATCGAGGAAAAACAATTAATGTAAACTGAATTTACAAGTTAAAATATATTTCCTGATTTAAGCCGCTTTCTTTGTCTTTTTTTTTTGCGCTTATATCAGCATATTATTGTCGTATCTTTTCAAAACCGAAATTGACACGAACTATCAATCAACGGAAGAGAATTCTAATAGTAACATACTCTATATTAACAAAAAACTATAATAATTATTCATGATGAATACATTTTCATTTTGAAACTTGTGTATGTAATTAGCCTAAATCACAAAGTCAACAGGTATAATAGAAACGTCACTATTTTGACGTCAAATAACGCTGCTATGACGTAGAACGACATGGGTCCCCCTTAATATAATTCATTAATTTTGCAAGTGTTTATAGTATTTAATAAAAAAGACGACTAATTTTTTATCTACTAAAACTTCAATACAAATATAAATTTGAAACTTTAGTAGTCTTTGGGGATGTCCATCATGTGCAATTAAACGTTTAGCAGATGTTCATATCGGAAGCGCAGCTATATGACCCGTTACAATCACATTTACAGAAAATTCTGAGGCAGACGTCGTCATAGTAGAATTGCCCGGCAGGGTAGTTTCTCCCTTTTACTGTACATCCTGGACAGCTCCTATCTGGTACTTGTGGGCGTCGACAGATGTTCTGTGTCCTCGTAGCGGGACAGCTCCATGATCCATCGCAGTTACATCGACAATTGAAGCGGTAACACCCCTCATCAAAACTAAAGTTACTGTTTCCTGGGTACTCTCTCCCTTTTGTTTGACATTTTTGACATCGATTCGATCCTGAGGGATTTCGGCAGATATTTTGGGTCCTAAGGGATGGACAGTTCCATGATCCGTCACAGTTGCATCGACAATTAAAGCGGTAACACCCCTCATCAAAGCTAAAGTCGCTGTTACTCCTATAACTTACGCCATTTCTCCGGCAATCCATGCATGAATCGGCGATGTAAATCAAACACAAAAAGAAGAAAAGTATTAATAGCTTCTGCATCTGTAAATAAAAAAATATCACATTAGAAATACATGTATATGTATATGTATATATAAATGTATATATTTAAAGTGTAGTATTTTCATTGACCGTGCGAAGGGTTAACATATAATATAGTATATCCACATTATAAAAACAATTAAGATACATGTACCTAGATAATTCATATTTACTGAAAATCTGTTTCGTAACAAAAACTTCGTTTCAAGAAAATTTGAATGGAGGAGAAAAAACCGAAGAAAGTGTACATGCAGTTCCTACGTGTATTTTTCTCAGAGTTTTGGCTGTATAATATTTCTTATTCGTATCTCTACAAACCGAGACATGTGTCCAGTATATTGAGTAAATTTATATAACTCATAAATGCATAAAATTATTGATATTATTGGATTTAAAGCGCAACTAGTTTAAGGCCGCCCATAGGAAATATGCCTTAAACTATTCTGAAAAAATCAATATAAAGTTGATATTTTTTTTATTAGCATGAGTTTTAATTCAATGACAATTATACTAATGCATATCTATATGTGGGGTCTCAACCAAGTTTGGCCAAAGAGACTTCACGTACATCAGCTGTTTGTCACGTGAAATGATTAAAATTAGAAAAAAATATGCAGGGATACAAATATCGTAAAAGTTCAAGGATGTACGGATAATTTTTCACTATGAAATTGATTGCGTTTTCTTTAAAACAAATTTTTAAACCAAAAAAATGCAACTTCTCCATGACGAGGAATTATATAAAATTTAGCCGACATTTGATAAACTTTGTGTATTTACACTATATGCATTGAAGAAATATAAAGTTACGGAAAAAATCGACAGCGCACAATTTGCTCCCAGCACTTTTCAATATAGTAGGGACAATAGCTACATGTGTATAAAATATCATGATTAATAATCAAGCGGATATCGTTTAACTTTTGAGATTTTGGAGGGGTCTTACCTTTGATTGTAGTACGTTCTAATATAAAAAAAAAAGCATGACTGCAGCTTTATAGAAGATCTAATAGTTATCAATTAAATAAGACTGTGATCTATAGATTAATGCATCAAAATATGAGTCAATTTTAATCAGATCTCGCTTATTTAGTTTTAATTTTGATATTTTCAAGTTCCACTAATAGCTTGATCCGCGTCTCAAGTACGGAGAAACTGCGTGTCAACTAGCCTATGACGTCATATCTGTTAGTACGGCGAGATCAAGTTGGCTTTGATTTTACATTCAAATAGTGTTATAATGACAAGATAAGTTACACATTGATTAATATTTACAAAAATTATGAGTATTCAAAGTACGTAAAAGTATATGAAAAAGGAAATTATTATTTATTCGCCGAGATTCATTTGTACAATTTCACTGTGACGTCATAATCAAATTCCTGAGGCTCTGCATACACTCATCTACCTTTGGGTAGCCCTTAACCTAGTTGCGAGTATTTTTTTTTACAATCCGATGTCTTTCATGTCGCAAAAAAGATGATTGTAAAAATTTACATGCTATCTTTAAACGCTGCATATTCTTTAACTAAATAAAAAAATAAAATAAATTCAGCGCTCCTTTAGCCACGCAATACAATCCCAATGAAAGGCTACTTTTTACTGAAACACAAAAATTAACTTAAGGAAGACATGTGATTAAAATTACTTACAAAGTAATTTTGCTTTTCTGATATATACTAATGAAAGGTTATACAATATAATAGCAATAGCACATGTACTATATAAGTTTTTCATACTTTCTTTGCTAAATCAAGTTGCGTGCCTACCTCTAGACTCGTCTTGAAGGCAACTTTGTCCAAACATACATGACTGTTGAAATCTCTCATAACTTTTATAGCCAAGGGCATAATAGATGATGACCAATTATGATTAATTTTAAATGAATTTTGAAAATTGCCTGCATTCTGTAGGTCCTTTTGACCCTCTGATGACAGCAGCTATAATTATAATTATGATTTATATGTAGCTACTTTACTAAGATGCAAATTTTCTTTTCATTATTAATTCAATTAAGGGGTTCTTCATTTATTGTAAAATCCTGACATGATAAAAATGAAAATAATCAAGATTTACCTAACATCTGCTTTGCAATGATGGCATTTTATCTTCAATGTAACTGTACAAATAATTTACAAATTTCGAAATCATTTGATAGTCATAATGTCAACGAACAGTAGTTGAGTGATAACATGTATTATGATGTTTAAACAACTGGTTGACATTCGTGTTTAACATAATTGTCTCATTTTAACCTGTAATTTATATATTTTATCGTTGAAACTCACTCCATGTTATGTGGAGGTTGTCCCTAAACCTGTGCTCTGCAGGATAAACCACTGTCAATACATGTAAAAGAAGCTTTTTTTCATAGTTTGATACTTATGGTTCTTATGTAAAAATCAGAAGTTTTCTGGCCTGTAAAAAGCTTGATTCCATTCCAACACAGGCATGAATCATGGCCTTTTTTGTGACTGTGCTTGGATGGTTCATGCAGATTTCTAATATATATGAATTAGAGAACATCAGAAAAAAAGACTTGTACATGAAAATAAAGTTCATCGTTGTTGAAGATAACTGTATCTAAAGTTGAAACAGTAAATCCCCTCTCTAAAAGAAGGGTATTGAGTAGGATTTCGCCTGGGGAAACTGACACTATGTTATTAATTTCCCAATGGAAATTCCACTCCAGATTCAATTTACCTAAAAGAAATTATACGCTATATAACTTATTGCAGTTTCCTTTAAGCTAGTTTCTCAAACAATAAAATAATTACCATAGCTGCAGAATCTATGTATGGCGGGAGGGGACGACACAATATTACATTTGTGTTTTTTTGTTTACTAAAAGATGATCTTAAGCTCATTCACATTTTAAAGAAACATTATAAGAAATCATAATTAAAAAACTGCAGTTTTGCCTTCAACATTTAACGTTTAAATCATGATAACCAGTTTTATTCGATTTTTTTGGAATTGTTAAATTTAAATAAAAAGATATTTTTTGGTACGTTTAACTGTCCATTTATTTGAAGCATTCAAGTATAATTATTTTCATCTTTTTAAACTGCATTCTACGAAAAATACCATAATTTAATCGGTTGGACACTTCAATAACTGCAGCCATAAAAACAATAGATTGATTGTCTATTGTTTAACAAAAGAAATTTCACTCATATGAAGGCGCCACTACTCGCAGGTTTGGAGCAGCAAATTCTGTCTTTTACACGACAGTCATTGTCATAGAGCGATGATGGATATTTTTTGTGCCAGCACCTACTGCAACAATAAAATTCTAACCCGCCACCCCAGGTTCTTGTTTTGGAAATAAATTTTAACCCACATTATAATAAAAACACAAGGTATCTAACCCCGAACTACACTAAGTACACCCCTTCTAAGAAACGCAATCATTTGCACCTTTAGATGGAAATGCATTAGCAAACTTTTAATTACCAAGGTCTTCTACGATAATTGATCTACAAAGCCATGTATGGTATGCATGTTTTTGTTTTCATTTTTCTATGTAAACTGCGTCAAAACTATGCCCGCCGAGTGGAACGTCGAACTCGACCATAAAATTTAAACAAAATTGAGTGAGTTAAAAAAAAATGAATTTTATATTTAAGATATTGCATATTATAAAAAAAAATTCACCTCTTATTTTTCCTTAAAAAACCGTCGACATTTTGTCGATGTAATTTAAGATGCAGATTTTTAGCCGATCAGAATCTTCGTAAGTACCAAGTAAAGTTCAAAATAAAATTTGAAACCCTTAACCAAAATATCTTGACGTCTCTTTACAAGTAAAGCAACAAGCAGTCAATCAAATTTATGTAGCGGGTTTAAATCCAACTGCGGGTCGTTGCGGCCGATCTTTCGGGTCACCTGGTTTAACAAGGAACTGCATCGCAGTATGTCTTTCAAAAAACCGATCCCGCAATGTTCAGCCGTCTATGGGGGCAAGTATATAGTTGATATTCAATGTTTTGTAGTTGAATATAGAATGGGAATGGAATTTTTTTTTTATTTTCACGAATGCAAAGCAAATAACCATGTCTCACACGTGGAGTAAATTCTATATTAAACAACAAAACATTGAATTTTCCGTTTATTATATTTTCTTTGATTTTCCCTTTTCCTCCGTATTTATAATGCAGTCATAGGCTACAGGACATCATAGTTGAGCGGTTGAGACGCCATAGCTAAGTTGTGTGAGATTGAAAACGTTGCAAGAATTTCAACAACATATATGGGGATCCTTGGCAGTTTTGTTATATGTCATGAATGATTTACTGTAAATCACCTTTTATTCGCGAGAACTTTATTTTCGCGTAATTACGCGAGACAGTGTGCTCGCGAAAATTTAATTCTCGCGTATAATAGCATTCCTTAAGATTATATAGAGCAATAACCATAATTCGTGAAAATTTTGTCTCGCTAATCAACTGTCAATGACTATCTCGCGAAAATAAGGTGTCGCGAAAATTTAGTGATCTACAGTATTTCCCAACGGACAAAGGGGTATTTTTTCAACAATTTATATTATTGGAAGTAAAATCTAGAGATTAACAGCAATTCTCATATTAGTCATACTGTGAAAGCATATCACCTTCAATATCTGTAAAATGCAATATTTGACCATTTGTACAATTTAAGAATATTCTTATGAAAAATAATTATAATTTTATTAGAATTTAAGCATAGATGTTGTTCGGTATGAATGTCACATACGTTCGATAAGATACATCCTGAATAATTTATATGCATAATTAAATGCATAATATGATGAAACTTTTAAAACTGTAATTCGAGAATATTTGCCACAGGACTAATTTAAGAGCCCCTGAACGCTAAAACGTATTGTGCGCTAACGGATTTCTAAATATTTTTTTTTGTGTCTGTCCAAAGCTTTTACATTAATTCATGTAAACCGGAATGGGCGATAACCTTATGTCAAAGGATCGTTGGATTTTATAAAAACACTAGCACTGAATATTGTAGGATCGATCGAGAAAGTTTTACCAAGTTATAATTTAATTAAACTATTGTTACTCTGGTAGTTATTACCCGATTCCTATCATTAGCACCTTCAAAGTTTGATTTCTGGGCGTGTAAATCATCTAACGCTCCGAGCTTAACAATGCAATCAAGCATGGCGATTGAACTCGCAGACAATATTGGAATTTTATTACCGTTTATCCAAGAAAATTTCATTCGATGCATGTATTGATTGTTTTAATATGAATAAAAAGCGTAAATACTCCATTTATTTTATTTAGAATAAAAAATAAAATAAATTTTAATATTGTGCCACGTACATGTGATTGCAACACCATGGTGAAATAGACGAATGATTACTAATATACGGGAGTGATATTGTGTTTCCTTGCTTGACTAACCAAAAAGTCAAATACGGGTGTGGATGAAAAACAAACAACAGATTTATATATTCTTACGTCAAGTGAAAGCGCTAATTTCTTTGGGCCAATACACTTCCACTTGCATTTGCGCTAAAATACTAGAACTCATGCGGTAAATTATTTCGTTTTACAGTATATGACTTTATGTATAATATTATGAACAATGTGGAAATAAAGAACAGTTATCAAAATCAAAATCCCATTGAACAATACAAATTAGGAGCACAGCACACAGAACCCTAAAAAAAACATCAGTACTGGGATAAGGTGCCAAACCGATCGGTCACACTCGCCGTGTGCTCCTTGTCATAATCAGGAAATGACGCAAAAATCAGTGTATAAGGAATGGACTAACAATCAGTATGAAAATCGTCAGTCAGATTTGATTTTTTATTTCTTAAAGTATAGTTATAATTGAAAATGAAACATGATAAGTTCAACTTTTATTACAACACGGAAAGCCATTAGGCTAAAGATTATACAATAGAAACTTCGATTTCACATTTATGATATCAATTTTTAACATGAATTCGAAGTTTGAAAGTACAATAAAAATTTAATGTCCTTCAAACATGATTATGGTTTCATTCTTAACCATAAACTTTAATTTTATCTTATTAGATTTGTAGGCATGAAAGAAGTTGAAAATGTTTGTATTTACCGTTATATTTACGAGGTCCAATGTACGAATGAGAGGCATAAATTCTTTCTTTTATACATACACTGTATGTAGGAAACCAAAAATGACAAAAACCTAAATTTGTCAAGGTAAACGTCTTTTAGAGTGTATGAGTAAGCACTATGTCGAAAGATTTATTAATGACCATTAAGCATAATAATATGACATTTAGAGATTATAGATGTCGAATTTATTAAACTGCAGCACTCTTCATCTTAAATTTAAAGGTCGCTAAGTCAGTACAGTACTCGGAGGTTTTTAATAATTTACGTTTATTTTTTAATTATCGAGGGGCTTTTCAAAAGTTCTGAACACTGTTTAATAAAAAATTAACTGTTTCACGGAAATAATTGAGTTTGATATCATTGGAAAGATCAGAAAAATATACATATATTGAGACGTCACTTTATTATTCGTATGACGTAATAACTCAGAAAATGACGCAAGACGTCAGCATGCTTTCTATACTTCCCATAAAATTGACGTTACAAAAAACACAATGTGATCAAATCAAAACTTTAAAAACAACTTTTGCTCATTACTCGGGAGCAAGCTATCGGATGCAAATGCCATTGGTGGAATGTTTAAATAGACTTCATCTATCATATGGTGTTCTATTTTGGAAATCTTGTTCTGAATCGGTTTAAGCGATTGTCAAACATTGCATGTTTTTATCGAATCTCGCTCAAAATATTGCGTAAAACAGACCTAACTGTGAGAAAAAGGCAAAGTTGACAATCAAAAAGAA